TAATTTTACAAAAAAAAAAAAAAAAAAAAAAATTATATATTCAACAGATATAATTAAAAAAAATATCTCAAAATAGACAAAAGAAAACCATGGACTTCTATGTTAAATATTAGGAAAAAAATATTATATTTTACTTTTATATGTTCTTAAAGAATTTTTTTTTTTTAACATCCTATAAAAAAAATAAATTCAACAAGTATAATAACTTTAATAAATATTGTAGTTAAATAATTTTAATTTTTAAAAGTTTAATTATATTAAAATCTTTTTTTTTATTTAACATATCCTTTGTTTTAAGAAATTGAACTTTATTCCATAAATTATCTTCTAGTCTTTTTTGTTCACTAATTATCCTTCTTTCTATTTCTTCCTTTAAAACAGGAGAAATTATTTTAATTTTTTTTTAACCATATCAATTATTATATTATTTCATTTAAATTCATTAATAATGTTTTATAAAAAATGAAAAAAAATTAATACATATATATTTTATATAAATACCCTTTCTTTAAGATGATTTTCTAAATCATTGTGATATTCTAATGCTTCAATCAAATCCTTATATCCATATGCTCTTGTTAATAAAAATAAAAATAAATTTCTCTCCTTTTTATATTTTTTTTAATAATATAAAAATTAAAAATTTAATAAATTTTATATTTTTGTTACGGGACGGTATAATGAACGCTAACAGGAATAGGTTCTGACGCCTGCCAATTTTTTTGAAAGTCTAACGGATATAATAAAGAATTACTAGGTAAAAAATTCAAAATATTCATTTCTTCTTTTTTTTTTCTATCTGATAAAACATAATAAATCTTTAATAAAAAAAAAGAAAAAAAAAATAATTTAAAACAAATATGAAAATTAGAAAGAATAAAGATGAAAATAAATAAAATTTTGAAGGAATATATAAATATTAATACAAAGTGTATTTAGGTTTTATTGCATTTCTTAATTTTAGAATATAAGTTTACATATATAATAAAAATATTGTTTTATTATTAAAATAATATATTATTAACCTGTAGTAACACTACAAGAAAGTTAAAGAAGAACATATTTTTAAGAATTTTCATTTTTGTAATGGTATAAAATAAATTTATTATAAGTACATATATATATATATATATATATATATAAATACATTCCTTATTACCTATTAAGGAAAAATATTGACTTTTTTAATTCATAATTATTAAATGATATTTATGTCTACTATATTTACATTTTTACATAATTTTTACATTTTTTGTTACATCAAGTGTATATACATTTATATACTTTCATTAAATTAGATGAATTCAACGTATAACAAAAGTATAAAAAAGATATTTTTGATTAATTAAAAACTTAAATTATGTATAATATTAAAAAAAAAAAAAAAAAAAAAAAGAAAAAGAAAAAAAATGTTTTGATGAAAAGAAAAAGTTAAAATATAAAACAATTTATTACAATTTAATTAAAAATATTAATTACCTGATTGATGAAAAGTAACAACTAAATGCAATGAAAAAAAAGAAAAAGTTTTATTTATTATTGTTATTATCTGTACTTATATGTAATAATTCATTATGTTTTAAAAATAATAAATTGAAATACTTTTTTATATTAAAACAGAAAAGCAAATCAAGTAAAAATTCGAACAATTTTATTTTACATAATTATGGAAAAGAATTTTTTGAAAGAGTAAAAAAGCTAAATTTTTTATCAGATACTTTGAATATTGATGCATATCCATCATCTTTCTTAAAAAGGAATATAAAAATATATGATTTAAAAAAAAAGTATAATTATTTAAAAAATGGAGAGCAGGATAATGATACTTATGTGATTTATGGTCGTGTAATGATAAAACGAAATAACGGTATGTTTCTAAATATACAAGATGATGAAGATAACATACAAATTTACTTAGATGAAAATATTACGATTAAAAAAAAAACAGATGAAAGAAATGATCACATAAAAAGAAAAAAATGTAATTTGGATAACCATGAGTCTAATAATATTTTAATGGATGACGCAAGTATAAATGAAAAAAATAATAGTTTATATGATGAGTCAGATAAATTTAAAAACATAAATGAAGTAAAAGCTAGGAAGATAGTAGAAATAGGAGATTTTATAGCTATAAAAGGGTTCATTAGAAAAACTTTAAGAGGAGAAATAACATTACACACAAAAGAAATACAAATATTAACAAAGTCATTATTGCCATTACCAGATAAGTATAAGGGGATGCAAGATGTAGAATATAAATATAGAAAAAGGTACCTTGATTTTTTAACTAATAAAGAACAAAAAGAGAAAATAATAACAAGATTTAAATTAATTCAAGAAATAAGAAAATATTTATTAAAAAGAAATTATTTGGAAGTTGATACCCCCATGTTACAGTTATTACCAGGTGGAGCCACAGCTAAAGCATTTGAAACTCATTTGAAATCTTTAAATCTAAATTTATATTTAAGAATTTCCCCAGAATTATATTTAAAAAAATTAATTATAAGCGGAATTTCAGAAAAAATTTTTGAATTAAGCAAATGTTTTCGTAATGAAGGATTAAGTTCTATTCACAACCCTGAATTTACCTTATTAGAGATTTATAAGTCTTACTCTAATTATAAATATATGATAAAATTTGCTGAAAAATTAATAAAAAAAATAGCAAAAAAGTTTAATTCTATATCAGATTATAATTTAATTCACAAAAAATGGAAAAAAATATCTTTTATTAAAATAATAAAAAAGTATACATCTATAAACTTTTTAAATTTATCTTTTGATGAAGCTTATGATGCAGCTAAAAAATTAAATGTGACTTTTGATCAAGAAAAAAGTAATTTAAATTGGGGGTTAGTTGTTGAAGAAGTTTTTAAAAGAAAGGTAGAACCATTTTTGGGTTCTAATCCCATACATATTTTTCATTTACCATCAGATACATCATCATTAGCTAAATCATTAAATAAAAATAAAAAATTATCCGAAAGATTTGAAACATATATAGGAAAAATGGAGATAGCTAATGGATATACAGAAGAAGCTAACCCATTAATGCAAGAAAAAAAATTTATATTGCAAAGTTCTTTAAAAGATAAATGTATGAACCAAAATATTAATAGGAGTACAAAATTAGACAGTGATAAAAACATAAATCAAAATATCCATAAAAATAATGATCCTAAAGAATTATTTAATAGAAATAGCAAAACACAAATAAATAAACAAAATGTAAAAAGTCAAAATTATGATATTGATTATGATTATATAACAGCGTTGTCTCACGGATTACCCCCGACTGGTGGTTTAGGAATAGGCATTGATCGTTTATGTATGTTATGTACTAACTCAAATTCAATTAAAAATATATTATCATTTTCTATTATAAAACCAAATTAAAAATTACCTTTTTATATTTCATAATACCATATAAATAAAAAATATTATCTTATATATGTTCTAATATTAAAAAAAAAAAAAAAAAAAAAAAAAAAAAAAAAAAAAAAAAAAAAAAGCGAGACAAATTAATGATTATTTTGGTAATATTAATCTTAACATTCAGTATAACATCTAAATAAATAAATGTATTAATAAAAAAAAGAAATTAAATTTTTAAAGCTAAAGTTTTTATGGATTTATAATTTAGACACAGTTTATTATAATTTTTAAGGAATTTACTTATAAAAAGAATAAAACACTATAATGAAATTTTCTTTTGTTATTTTTTTTTTTTTTGAATAATACTTGAAAAAAAAAAAAAAAGAAATAAAATAATAATATAAATAGTTTATTTTTAAATATACTTAAAGAAATATTTAAATATATATATATATATATATATTTAAGAACTAAAAGTTTATGTCAACAATAGAACTAATGATTTTAAATAAATTTTCTCAAATTTAAAAAATATTTTTAAGTTTTTAAATTTTGTTTGTCTTACATTTATAAAAAGATAATTTACTAAATGAAAAAAAAAAATAGAGAAAAAAAAAAAAAAATTATAATAAAATTTCACATTTAAATTCAAAAAAAATTTACCATATATTAAAAAAAAAGCATTTTATATACATGTAATTATATATATATATATATATATATATATATATATATCAAAATATGAACTATAAAAAATTAATATTTTTTATTATTACTTTTTTTTAGTAGGTGGAGAAACAAATAAAAGTAATTTAGAACAAAATTATATAATAGAAAAAATAAAATAAAACCTTTATATAAATATTAACGTTTTTAATATATTAAAAAGTTAAACCTGACTTCTTGTCTTTATCATTGAAACTGTTGTTATTCTCAAGTGATTTCTTAGAGATAAGACTACTTGGTATATTTAATGTTTGTGAGCTATAAAAAAAATAATAAAATAAAATATTTAAAATATGATTTGAATTTATACTTTTTTTAATAAAAATATAATAATAAGCATATATTCATATAAATTATATGTAAATCTATAAAAAGAAAAAAAAGATAAAATTACTTTTTCATAAATTTTGAAATCTCATTATTTTTTTCGTCTAATTTTTTCTGGCATTCACTTATAATTTGTTCAACCTGTCATATTTCATAAAAAAAATAAAATAATAATAAAATAATATTATAAAAAATATTAAAAATAAAAGGAAGTGAAAATATAACTATAATGTATGATATATTTTAAATTTTTAATTTTTTAAAAATAACTAATAAAAATGTATTATTATTATATGAACTTAATTTACCTTGTTTTTATGATCTATCAAAGCTGGTTTAATTTCACCAACCGTTCTTTCAACTAGAATTTCACCAACCATTCTGTAACATCTTCTATCAGATGGAACATTTTCCAAAGCTTCCAATACTAATCTTGTATATTATTAAATAAAAAAAATAAAATAAATAAAAATTTAATATAATAATAATTAGTTTTTTAATAGTACATTTAAAAAAACATATATATTTACTTATGTTCTACTACATCTTGATATAACTCTTCTATCTTAGAGACTAACTGAACTCTATCTTTTTCTATTTGCTCATATGTTGACTTGGCTTCACTTTGTTCATCTAATTTTGTGATTTGGATATCTTTTTTATTTTCCATGTTATCAAATTCTCATTGAAATTAAATATTTTTTTATTGTATATAAAATATAAAAAAAAATAATTTTATATGGGTAATTATTTAAATAATATAAACATTTAACAGTGTAAAAGGAAAAAGATTAATTATAACAAATAAAAACTCTAATTAAATGATTTCGAGTTTATTATTCGAAAAAAAAAAAAAAAAAAATCATTTTTACATATTATATTTTTATTATAATTAAAAAAAGAAAAAATTCAACAGTTATTTTTTACAAGTATTTTTCTCTAATTTTTTTTTTTTTTTTTTTATTCCTCTTTAAAATAAATTCTTTTATAAAAAGGTATTTAAATAATATATTATTTTGTATTTATCCAAAATAATTGTGAATCTTTATGTATTCAAAAAATATTTATTTCTTATAATCTTTGAATAATAATTTATATTCAAAATTACTGTTTGATTTATTCATTTAAATTATATTTTTATTGTATGATGTATCTTAATGCTAAGTACGTATATGGTATAGTATATATAAATCTTATTTCTTAAAATTGCACTTCAAATTATTCGGCATAAATTTCATGTGAAAATGATTTATTAAAATAATACAAGTTGAAAATTGTAACTTAAAAACTTATATCTATAAAAGATATTACTAATTTAAGTAATTAAGTTTCTAAAAATTCTTTATTGTTAATTTTATTATGATAGAGCATTTTAATTTTAATTTATTTTTTCATAAGAACAATATTAAGAAAAAAAAACCTCTATAAATTGAAACAAAAATACATTAATATTTATAAATTACATAGAGATGTGCTTCTATATCATTTTTTACATAAAAATTACACTTCGGTGTAATTAAAAAAATATATAATATAAAATTAAAATTTATTAAAAATTTATTTTTAGTTTATAGATGTAATTTATTATCTATTCTATATATTACTGAGGTATTTTAATTTAATAGAGCAAAGATATGAGATTTTTATTTATCATTTTTAGTAAAAATGAAAAATTAATATATATATATATATATATATATATATATATATATATATATATATATATATATATATATATATATTTCTTTTTCATTTACAAGAACAAGGAGTCATGTTCTTTCTTTTTTTACTTACAGACTATGAAAAAGAGAACATAAAACTTTACGGATTTTATTTTAATAAGTATCTTTGTTTAAAATAATACGTCCATAATTTTTTTTTCTTTTTTTAGTAAACATAAATGTATTTTCCTCTTCTAATTAATTTCAGAATTACTTATTTTTTTATATAAGATAATATTAAAATGTCTTCAAAATATTTAAAAGAAATTCGTATAAAAATAAATTATCATTTGTGTAAAAAATAAAATAAGAGAAAATTTTCTGATTATTTTGATCATTTTTTTTTTGAAATATAAATTTATTATATATTTTTTTTTTTTTTATTAACATATAAGCTTGTATTAATACAAAGCTACAGTAACAAATAAATTTAAGTTTTATATTTATATTATGATCTACAATTATATACAACTGTTTTTTTGTAAGCTAATATTATATTAGTTGTTCATAATTTTTAAATAAAAAAAAAATTCTTAATTGAAACACTATAGCGCACACATTATTTAATTCATAAAAAGGGTTTAATAAAAAAAAAAAAAAAAAAAAAAAAAAAAAACCGTAACATTATGATATATAAATATAACAGAAATATTAAACTGTTACACACAAAAAAATTAAGAAAAAAAGGTTTTTTTTGGTTGTATTATTTTCTCTTTGTTTACATGAATTTTTAAATAAAAAAAAATTAGATAGCTCCATTTTTTTTAAATATTATTTCATTTTTTTAAAGCGTAAATTTCACATATCACATCTATTTTTTATTCTTATCATTAATGAAAAATAAAAAAGTTCTTATATACTTTATATATTAAAAATAACATTAGAGTGCCTATATGTACAAGTGCTTTTAATTTACTTGTAGTTCCAAATTTTCTTATTTAAAAATATTTAATTTTAAAATTATTTAATGTTATGAAAATTTCTAAACACAGGACAATACCTATTTTTAAGATTCTTTCTTTTTGATCCATATTTTAAATATTGCTTTTAGTTACGTTAGAATATATATATATATATATTTTTAGTAAATGCTTATTGAAAATTTTTATTTTTACACAAATATACCATCAATTTTATTCATGTTTTTTTTTTTTATTCTCAACAAAATTTATGAGTTAATCTAATAAATATGAAGAGTAGTAATAATATACCAATAGAATTTAATTGTGAAAATTTTGGATTAAAAAATTTTCCAGTAGTTGGTTATCCACTTAATGTATATAAAGGAAATTTTAAAAATCCAATTTATAAAAGAGATATTAGGAGACAATTCCAATCCAATCCAATTATTGTAAAAAAATGTTCTAGTCCTACATTTTTCAAAGTTCCAAGATATAGATTAAATTATGCTCATAAAAAAGTTCCTGTTCCTGTTTTTCATAAGATTCCAAAGATTGTCGAAATTCCAGAAATTAGAGAAATAACTAAATTTGTAGATTCTGTAAAAGTTGTTGACGTTCCAGTGGAACAAGTTAGAATTATTCCCAAATTAAAAATAAGGGAAATTGAAAAAGTTAGACATGTTCCAGGTCCAGTGGAGTATATAGATATTCCACAAGAGCATATTGTCCATAAACCATATACAGAAGTAGTGGAAAAAATTTACGAAATACCTGAAATTGAAGATATTGAAATCGAGGTACCAATTTATGTACCAACACCAATTGGCCCTCCAAAGGATATCCATATAAATATCCCTTTACCTTATGATGTTCCACAATTTTGCTTTAAACCAGATAAAAGTATACCTCCCACAATTTCCTTTCCTGAATTTCACAATATGAATAATATTCCTAATATTTATTTTCAAAACGAGAGATTTAGGGAAAATTCACCAAAAGTAGATATTTCCAGAAAGCATAAAAAAGTTATGTATTCATCACCACCAATAGAATATAGTATTAAAAATAAAAAAATAAATGAAAACAATGCAAATGAAAACTTTTATAATTATAATCAACAAAATTTCGATAAAATTCCCAAAGAAAATATATATTACAATAAATATAATATTAATTACGACAATATTAGTAATACTCAATATATACCAGAAAAAAATAATAATGACAGTTCACCTAATCAAAACGAAAAATATTATTATTCCTATTCATCATATAATAAATATGATGAAAATAACACAGAAAAAAATATTCATAACGATAATTATAATAAAATAGATTATTCTAATAATTATGAAAACAACAAAAATTATATATATGATGAATATGAAGATAAGAATGGTTACGATAAAAATATTATAGCAGAACTTATAGTACAAAAGAAGAAAATTTTGCATAATTAAATTTTAGTTAATATTTTTTTTCATTTTTTTTTTTATTTATTTATTTATTTATTATTTTTATTATTTTAAATGTTAAAATTAAAAAATTATTAAAACTATTAACTAATTTGTTGTCAAAAAGTGTTATAATAATTGTTATAAATAAATATATTTTATTAAAAAAAAAAAAAATAATAAAATTTATAGTTCTTCCAATCATGATAAGAAAATAAAATAACTTTCATAGATTATGAAAATTTACTAAATTCTGAATATAAATTTATTATATGTAAATGAGAATATATTCAAGAGCTTATATTTAAATACATTTTATTTGGGAAATTTAGAATGTCTATTTGTTATGTAATATCATTTTTCTTCAGTATATATAATTTTAATTATTTATGAAGCATTGTTATTTTTTGATAACATATTCAAAAAAGTATCTTCTAAATTTTGAATCATTTTAACTTAATACATTAAAAAATAATTTTTATTATCATTAAATAAAATTGGAAAATATATTTTTTCTATTTATTTGTATTTTTTAATAGATAAATGTGGTACTGGCCTGTTTGTACAAATAACATTTATAATAAGTGTAAAATACATTACAAAATATAATCTAATAATACATTACGTTCTTCACACTTTCAATGTTTGTCTCTTCGTGAAATTCCAAATAAATGAATAAATCATAAATAAAAAACATTTGAAAATATAAGAATGAAGTAAAAATAAAAATCAAATTGAATAATATATTTGTTCTAGATATCTATTTTTCTGCTAAAATGTTTAATTTCATCAAAATTGAATTGATTTTATAATAATTTTTCATATTTTTAATTTATTTTTATTTTACCTATTTTTGTGAATATTCTTTAAAATAGCTAAAATCTATAAAAAGAAAGTATATATAAAATCATAGTGTAATTAATAAAAGTTAAAATTAATTTTTTAATTACTTAAAATATCATTTTTTATTAAAAATATGTTTTATATGCAATTTTAGCTTTTTTTTTTTTTTTTTTTTATGAATATAGTCATAAAAAATTAATCTAAAAAGTATTTTTTCTTTTAATGTTAATATAAAATAAAAATATAAAAGTTTCTATTTGATCCTTAATTTTTTTTTTTTTTTTTTTTCAGTCGATATATGTTATATTTAATGAGACTAAATAAAAATATATTTATATATATATTTTGTATCTTTAAGTAATCAACTTTTTGTACTTTTTTGAAAATGAAAAAGGTGAATGTTATAAATAACTTTGATGAGCAAATAAAATCATTAAATGATAACAATATACCATATAAATATTATAACCCTTCACATAACATAAATATTCGTAATTATTTAAGTTCAAATGATATTAAATATAAGTGTAAACCTAATTCTTATTTAAGCCTTAATGAATTAGTAGAATTTGTTGACAATTTAAATAATTCTAAGAATGATAACATAAATTACATAATTAATGATTATGATAATAGTAATATTGAAATAATAGATGGGAAAGTAAACAGTAATGAAAAATATATTAAGGAAAATTCAGAAAATTATGAAGGTTTTAATAACAAAAATTTAATAAATGAAAATAATACGCTTAAACTAGTAAATGACACTTACAATTGTCACACTAATTATACTAAAAATTCCAACGTTATCTATACATTAAGTAATGAAATATCTAATTCAAGTGAGAATAAAAACATAATACATAATAAAATAAATATCCAGACTTCCTCTATATCTAACATTAACAATGATAATAATTTGTTAAAAGACCTGTTAAAATGTAGAAGCACTTTATCAAAGAAGAATAATATTAAAGATCCTGAAAAATTAATAAGTACAAAAAACTTAAAATTGATGTTATTACATCGACCTAAGTCTATTGATGATATCAGGAATTTGAATTTAACTGGTTTCGGTGAAGATAAAATAAAAAAATATGGGTATGATTTTTTAAAAGTTTTTTTATCTAACTATTAAGAAAAAAAAATTCTAGACTAAAAAAAAAAGATCATAACTTACTATTTCTGATAGGTATGTAAGTCTACATAAGATAAACTTTTTTTTTCATGCTTTAAAAATTTATGAAATACATAGTTATCTTTTTATGGTATTTTATATATTTTAAGGATATTTTTTTTAAAATTAATAAAATTATAACGCATGAAAATAGTTAAAAAATGTAATATGAAAATAATATACGATTAAAAAAAAAAAATTCAATATGATGTTATACGAATAATTGACGTATTTTAATCTATTTATAGAATTATTTTAAAATATATCCATCATATATCATAATTTCGAATATAAAATAATTTTTAGATATTTATTTTTATTTGTTTTATTGAAATAAAAGAAAAAATAATATTTATATCTATAAACGATTAATATTTAATGTCTTATTAAAATTTATATATTTATTTTACAATCATTATAATGAGATATATTAATAATTACAATAACATATATATATATATATATATATATATATATATATATATATATATATATATATATATATTTGTACTTAAAATTTAAACTAATTTAATTATGTATAAAGAGATAAAAGTTATAAGCTTCTAATACATATATATAATATATATTAGTATTTATCTTATTAAAACTTTACTATAACTTTCGTTTGTAATTCTTACTTTGTTTTAAAATATCAGTTTAATTATACTAATTTTTATTTTCGTTAATTTATTAATGACTATTAATTTAAATATTAATATAGATTCTGACTTTATTTTGGTGACATCGATTTTTATGATAATTATTATTAATTTTTTTTTTTTTTTTTATGATAAATATCATTTTTATTGTTCTATTTTATATAAAAATTAATGTTCTTAAAATTTTTGTAACATTTATTATGTTCTGCTTAAATAATTTTATAATTTTTAAATTTCATATATTATTTATTATATACTATATATTATATATATATCTTGATTAGTATTATTGTTGCCATTATTTTCTTTTTAAATAATTATCTTATATATAATAATGGTAACGTTTATATTATTCTACTTATGAGGCCATTTAAATCATAATATTTTTCATTACTAATTTGATTTCTTTTTTCATATTCATTAATTTATGAAAAATTTAAATGCATTATTCATGAAAAATTTGAATTATATAAAAGCCCATTATATTAATGTAATTATTCATGAAAAAAAAAAAAAATTAAATACAATATGCTGTACTTACATTAATCATATAAATTATAGAAAAAAATATTAAAAAAAACAAAATGAATTAAAAGTAATATAATTCTTTCATAAATCTAAGAAATGTTTTTATGAAGTACAAATTTATATATACATGTCTTTTAATAATTTTGAAATATTTATACTTTCATTAGATAAAAATATTAAATTAAAGATATTTTTTATAGATCATAAATTATTATTTGAAATTTCCATTAGATTGTATATTTTGTAGATATATAGATACCTTATAATAATATACTATAGAAACAATTAAAATGAACAGAATTTTTTTTTTTTTTTTTTTTCGGTACGCTATTAAAAATAATAATTTATATATTAAAACTCTTTTATTAATATTTATTTTTAAAAAATTTTGTAATTAAGAGTGTCGGTGAAGAATTATAGAAATTTATTAAACAATTTTTTACAATTTAAGTCAATTTCATTTATGAATTATCATATATTAATAATATATAAAAAAAAAAAAAAAAAATTAAGGAGATTTAATAATTTTATAAAATTGCTACTTTTGTATTTAACTTTTGAATTTTTTTTTTTTTTTTTTTTTTTTTTGCATTAAGAATTTTTTAGATGATATATGAACATGTAAATATGTATGCATACAATATAATTTAAAAGTGTATACTTATAAAAGTATAGTATGTATTATTAAAAAAATGAAAATTTTAAATTAGTTCAATAATTATTAAAACTTGTGTACATCTACACATATGTATCTTTTTACAGTCTTATATTTTCTTTTTTTTCTACATGATTTTATCTGTTTTTATAATGTACTTAAAGAATTAACATTATTATAACCCTAAAATAATAAATTATTTTTCTTTTTTTCTTTATCCTTATGTTTATCTTTCCTTTTTTCTTTTTATTTTTATCTTTCCCTATTTCTTTTTATCTTTAACTTTTCCTATTCCTTTTCTTATACCTTTCCCTTTTTTCTTTTTCTTTTTCTTTTTTCTTTTTTCTTATTTCTTTTTTTCTTATATCTTTTTTCTTTTTTCTTTTTTCTTTTTTCTTTTTTCTTATTTCTTATTTCTTTTTTCTTTTTTCTTTTTTCTTTATTTTTTTTTTTTTTCATTATTCTATTTTTTTAAATTATATTATTCTAGCAGATTTTTTTATTAAAAATAAAAATGCATGTTGAATTATAAATTCCGTTTAACTGATATAAACATAGTAAAAATTCATTGAATCATATATTTTTAATTTTCCATTATTTATGAATTCTTTTTTATTTTTGCATATATTTACCTTTGTAATTTTCTCTTAATTCCATATATTTATGGATATAATTAAAATATATTAATTTTAAAAAAATAAAACTGCAAACAAGAATAATATGAATATAAAAAAAAAAAAAAAAAAAAAAAAAAATTTTTTTTTTTTTTTTTTTTAAATAAATTT